TAAAGAATCGAGATAGTAATCATAGAACATGATTTTTTAGTAAATTGAATATGAGAAAAATGTGAAGAAGCAATACACAATACAACAAAATAATGTATTGGACAGAAAGAATGAAATTGTGATAGAGTGTATATTGTTTGAGAAAGCAATGCCTAAAACTTTGTATTCTGAAGTTGTTAATATAATCGTGTATTTGTCTAGGAGTTTGGTTTGTTTATGTTGGAGTTTCCAAAGAAAGATTGAAGGATTTTATTTATCTAACGTGAGTTCTAGAAAACAAAATATATTATTTTATTATGAGTTCAGTAATCAGAATTTATTAAAATATGTTAGAATTGAACATTTTATTTTTAAAAACTCTTATGAGTTCTTATAAACAATTGTAACTCGTGATTCTCTAATAAAATCATTTATTCAATTTCTCTATCCTATAATTTTTACTTAAAAAAATTTAATTATAATTACGTACATTTGTATAAAAGAAATTCACAAATATCATAAATAAGCAATTTATTCAAGTAAATCAAACTCTTAAAGTAAAAAATATCATAGTGAAAAAGTTAGATAATTAGATATTAAAGATTATTGAACAGTACAACCAAGTTGATGTATCAAAATTATATTATCATTAATAATACTTCATAGAGGAAGACAAATTAAAAAAAAAACTAAAATAAGACAAAGAAGAGAATAAGATGAAAAGATAAAAAGATAAATACTATAAAAACCAATTAGTAATGAAAAGAAGAAAAAAATAAAATAAAATTATGTCTGTTACTTTACATCTTTCTATGTTTGAGTTGGAAAATAATTAATACTACTTAATTTGTAGTAAAACACATACTACATTAAAAGTAAAATATTTAGTAGATGGTTTGGTTGAAAATAGATAAAATTGAAAATTTTTTGCCTTCATTGTATTGTACCAACAAATCAACCTTTTCTATAGAAAAGAATCAAGTTTACCACAATAGCTCCAAACACATTAATACATAACACAGTTTATTTGAAAGGTGTACTAGCTTACACTGAAAATCTTAGACAAATCTCTCATCATATACAATTGTTAGATATGGACAATTTTAATTCTAAGTTTTTTTTTCTTCTATTTTTCGCCTTTCCCCATCCTTGTTCAATTTACCTCCTTTTTTTTTCTCTCTCTCTTTCCATCAACCATCACCACTGCTTCACCTCCTTACTATATAAAACAATTCATTATTCCTCATTCTAAACCTTCTACATCTAGATTGAAAAATCACCAATCCACCAACAAAAAATTACTTTTTTAGTAGAATATGCGTTGCATATAGAAATCACAAATGTGAGTATTTTGAAAATGCAATATTTTCCCCAAACCTTAACCCCAATGGTACCAATTCACCCTTGAAGACAACAATTCTTTCCGCTTCCAATTTGAGGTTTAACATTTTTTAAATAGTCAAACGTTTCTTGAGGAACATTTTGGCCACGAGGCAACCCTCCCTGAGTTGCCTCTGAATACAACTAGCAGATATGAAACTTCAAGAAATAAAGATAAATGGAAGAACAAAGTCAGAAGTGGGTTTCGGAGATCATAAACATTGAGGAAAAAAAAATAACAAATATGTGGTTATTATTCTGAATCTTAGGAGCAACTTGTGAATATTACTTTATTATCTTTTATTTAAATTAGGTATTAAGAGATTGTATTATCTTTTAAGAAAGAAGGTAAAAAGACATTAAGTTACTATTTTAATTTAGGCAGTTATGATTGAGATATTATTGATATTTGATATTTTGTAATATTTTTACTCTATATATACGTAGAGTACGTGAATAGAAATATACCCACATGATATATTAGAAATACATATACACAAAATCCTAAAAATTCTCAACAAATTGGTATCTGGGCTTTGGTTCAACACAATGGAAGGAGAAAGAAATTTTGCACAAGTCGCTATTCCAATTCTTTATGGCGAAAGTTATTTATGGACTGTGAGAATGCAATCATATCTTGAAGGATTGGATGTATGGGAAGTTGTAGAAAAAGATTATATTGTTGATCCACTACCTGAAAATCCCACCATAGCTGAAATGAAATTTCACAAAGAAAGAAAAACGAGGAAGGCAAAAGCTAAGTCATGTCTATTTGTTGGTGTTTCACAAATGATCCTCACCAGAATCATGACGCTAAAGTTACTCAAAGAAATTTGGGATTATTTGAAAGATCAATATGAAGGGGATGAGAAAATTCGAGAAGTGTTATATGTTTTACAAGCACAAGAGCAACGAATATTGATGAAATGAGATCATGCTACTAGTGAATGTTCTTTATTATATCATGATGGAGGTTTTGTCCAAGCCAAGAACAACAAAGGTGCAAAATCACGAGTATTTTCTGTTTGTCCTTATTGCAAGAAAAATAATCACACACCCAACAAGTGTTGGTAGAGACCTGATGTGAAATGTCACAAATATGGTCAATTTGTACATATAGAAAAGATATGTAAATCACAACCAGAGGAATTCGTTCAAGTTATAGAGGATAGAGTAGAAGAGGTACTTCTTCTTGCATTAACATGCTCTACAATCAACAAATTCACAGGTTAACTTATAGACAGTGGTTGTACAAACCACATGACTCATGATCGAAAACTTTTCAAAGAGCTCAATGAATCACATATTTCTAAAGTGAGAATCAGTAATGGAGAACAAATGAATGTAAAAGGTACGGAAACAATTGCAGTTAAAAGTCATTCGGGTATCAAATTAATTTTTTATGTTTTATATATTCCCGATATTAATCATAATTTGTTAAGTGTTGCTCAATTATTGGAGAAAAGTTATAAGGTGTTTTTGAACACAAACTTTGTGTAATTAAAGATACAAATAACTTGGAAATATTCAAAGTTCACATGAAAGGAAAAAGTTTCATTTTAGATTTGATGAAAGAAGAGATGATTACAAACAAAGATATAAAAGAAAAGTAAAAGAAAAAGCATAAAGAAGATTTCTTGAAGAAAATTGATGTTAAAGAAGAAAATAAAGATGTAGATGAAGAAACCGTTTTCAACGTTTATCAAAGAGTCAATAGTACTACCATAAAGTTTGAAAGAAACAAAGGAGATGAAGTTGATAAATGAAGAAATATGTTGATGAAGAAAGTGAAGTTAAATGAAGATGTGATCTCATACAAGATAAAAGATGACAAGAAGTATAAACAAAAAAGGTGGAAAAATTATAAGCAAAAGAAAAAAATATATCAAATTCAAATAAATAGATATTAAAGTAAGGAGGAATGTTGAGAATATTACTTTATTATTTTTTATTTAAATTAGGTATTAAGATATTTTATTATCTTTTAAGAGAGAAGTTAAAAAGACATTATGTTATTATTTTGATTTAGGTAGTTATGATTGAGATATTGATATTTAATATTTTGTAATATTTTTACTCAATATATACATAGAGTACATATACTCACATAATATATCAGAAATACATATATACAAAACCCTAAAAGTTCTCCACAAATGTTGTTTAAGGAAGAAATAAAGAGTGTGAGAAAAGAAAAACGTGGAATAATTGAGGGTTATTTTTTGGGTGAATCCTAATATCTCTCCACCAAGAGCAAAAACTAATTTCTCAAGGTACTAAGATCCATTTAGGGGTTTCACCCTACTAAATATTATCCTGTTAATATAGAGCCATTAATCCTATACTTGTAATGAAAGATAACTCCTTTTTCTAACACAATCTTCAATTACTTACCATCGTAGTGACAAACATGATGCTTTTTAGAGTAATTTTACTGAGAAATAGACTTTTCTGGTAGGGCCAACAAATTATTGAAGCCTTTGTTGGTATATCCATGTACACATATATAGGAACCAAAGTTTGAACATAAACACCAGACTCGAATATTTTATCCTTCCCGCCACAGACCTCATGTAAGCTTAAGTGATAGATTATCGAGTTATTTATCTATCTACACTTTTTGTTTTCCTTTTATTAATTTAAATAAAAACAAACATACCATTTCACTTTTTCTCTCATTCTTTTCTTCTTTACAAATAATTATTTTTACATTTTTTGAGAAATACAGAGATTAGCAGATAATTACATGATACAGTGGAGTCAGCTTCCACTAATACGAGACAACAAGTTTATATATAACAATCTAGGGAAAGTCACAAGACAAACAAAAAGGGCATGTCCAAGGCCACTTGTCTCTTCACATGAACAAAGCATTAATAAAAGAATGGCAAACATTGAATCAGTGTGTGTAGAAAAATAATTAAGTTTATGTTGTTAAACCAGGAATTGAATGTTAAAAAAATTTCTGAGGACCACAAATATGCATGTACAAATTGTTTGAGGAGAGTTGTTTGTCATTAATCAAAATATGTATATCTATTTCTATATATAAGAGGTGAAAGACATCTTTTAGTCTTTAACTACGTCAGGTTGTGTATGTAATCACATGCAACGTATGATATATAGATCAAGCTCACACATCCATGGGGAGCACAAGAAATCTGGCAGAATCACAAAAGGGCCAAATTTAGCATAAAGCAAACACCTGAGAGTATTTAATTAGGAAACTGCAATAACAGTGTTTTGAATGATAGGAGAGAGAAAGAAAGAGAGGAGGGGAGAGAAACAGTATTCGTCCTAGTCTAATCATTACTCTTACAGTCTTAGACAGTAAAATATTCTCGAGCAAACCTTTTCCGATCGACAATGAAGTATTAGGGTTTTTATTCTGCCTCTAGGGTTTTGTAAGCTACAAATGGTATCTCCACACACACTTGACGTTTTTTAGCCTATTTAGTTGTAAAGGCTTCCGATTTCCCTATAACCTGTTCTATATTTATGGATATTATATTACAAGCTGATAGTTGTAATTCAAGCATTTCGATGGGTTGGTGCTTGCATGAATCAAAATTAAACATATACAAAGCAACAATTACGCGCATGAGAACTTTACCTCCGTATATATATATATATATCTTGGCTCAAGAAGCTTGTTGCTCGATATCTTTTGCACTTTGAGTCCCCTTAAGAATTGTATTCCGCTTCTTCTTCTTCTTCTTCTTATATGGGATCCCTCTAGCCTTTGCTTGACACTCCTTTACCTCACGAAGGTACACCCGAATAGCTCCGCCTCCAAAGGGATTAGTCTCCGGCGAGCCGCCATGCTCCTCGTAGGCCGCACGAAGGCGGCCGATGAGGGCATCGAGGCTGCCCCATGCCTGCCTAAGAGGGCAGGCACAGGGTGCAGGAGGAGTTGGTTGGCCAAAGAAGATGCAACCGTGCAAGTGGACCTTGGTCTTCCCAAATTGATCAAGGTACCGAAGGAAATCCAACACATGGTTGAAGTTGCACTGGGAGAGAGGAACTGGGGGACTCTGATTCTTCAGGTACTGCCCGAAGGTGTTCCAGTCTCGCCGTTTTTGTGACTCATAACGGCTTAGTGGTTGCTGATTGGAGGGAGGGTGCTGTGATGACGATGAGGAGGAGGAGCCATGATGAGAAGAACCATTTTGAATTTGGGTAGACATGGTTGATTGGTAACTATGTAGGGTGCGGGGGTAGGATATTGATGGCTATAGATGGATGGATATGGAGTTTTGGGAAGAAATAAGAGGGTGAGTGAGAGAAGGAATGAGGTGAAAGAATGTGTTTATGCAGTGGAGAAAGATGAAAATCACGTCTTGTGGTCTTTTGAGAGGACATGATGTGGGCCCTTTGAAGGTGCTTTTCTTCTCCTCCTCCATCTCCCTCTTCCTCTCTCTCTCGTATTTGTATTTCTACTTTGTGCCATACGTACATGTTTCTCTAGATAGGAAAAAAGATGCTTCTTGTAATTATATTGGGTATGGAATCATCAATAATACAATCACACCAATCATCATTTTTCACAATAGGCATTATTGTCACTTGGTAATGGTTTGTGTTGGACCCTCTTTTCTTGATTTTGTCTAATCCAGTGGGAGCCGATTAGAAATGGCTTACTCATTAGTCGGCGACTAATTGGTGCTCATAGTCCAAATATTGCTTTATTTTTACTTATTTTATACATATATATAGATACATAGGACAAAACTCTGGTAAATATTATCTTGCTTTTGATGTGTTTTTCTTTTCTTCAAGACCCGAAATTTTACTTAGATAATGGTTGAAATAAAAGTTAAGATAAATTCTATCTCTATCGATAAGATTAATCTACTTCACTGATCAACTTGGTTGTCATCCATAGTGGTGTTTAGAACAGGAAATTGTTTATATATTGAATAGGAGAGGCTTCAAAATAATAATAAGAATCAAGTAACAGATGAATTAGCATGATAAAAAGCAATGATGAGCCACTGTATATGTTTTGATATTTTAATGTTTTGGTAATTTTGAATGTTTTGACAGAAAGTGGCACAGTAATGCAGTATAAATTGGTAGTAATTATTGTTGATGAGATATATTGATACAGAAGTGATGGGCAACATAATTTGCAAGAAAAAGTGATTGTTAACTAATTTAAGACTCTTTTGAAAGTTTGCTAGAATTAGTATAAAATGTAAGCAGCAGCAGAGATACCTTTGACTCCTGTTTACAAATTTTCAGCTCAAAACAATGTCAGGTTTGAGAGTACATGTCCATGCATGAATTGACTAATGGTTATAATCATGCCTCACCCCCCAACATACAAGCAGTTACCTTTTAATAAAAGTGATACTTATATTACATTTCGCTTAGCCCTCAAGGGTTAACTTTACGTACTCAAAACGATTTAAATTTATACGATTCAATTGCGTCTCATTAACTAAATCATACTTTTCTTCTTCTTCTTCTTCTTTCCCTTTTAATCCTTCTGTATGTACACAAAACCATGTTTTTTTTTAAACTACCTTACATAGAACATCAAAGTAGACGAACTACAAACGTTTTCATATTGATATCTCAAATTCAGTAATGAGTAATAATGATTAGGTTAGATTGTGGCATATGTATACTAATTATCTCAGCAACATAATATTCAAATAGTATTTAAAGATTGAATCACACGCATAAACAAAGGGATATACGTATTCTGAATAAACAGCATATAGCCATAATCAAACGAAATTAATATACAGATTTTCAATTGCAACAAAAAGGAAACAATGAAAGATTGAGGATTGGGAAAAAGAAATGCCGTCTTCATGTATATCATCAAATCAAAGAATAAAAGGAAACAAGACACTGAAAAGAAAGATTGGTACAAAATAGATAGACAACTTTGTGTGATGGTCCATGACTCCCGGAGATGTCCTTAACGCATTATGCTGCTTGTTGAAGTTTTGCCACTGCCTTGTATATGTATGTATGTATACATTAACTCTTGCACCCATTATTCTTCGTCTAAACCTGTATCTTTATCAGCAAAACTTGAATTTCTTATTGGAAATTTATCAGCAAAACTTGAATTTCTTAATAGAAATTAAGGCGATATGAACCCCAAAATTTTATAACTCTCCTATAATTTATTATTTTCATCCTTTAAACTTAGCATATATATTTAATATATGTAATTATATATAATAATTTTATCACTCAGTCTTCCCTCAATTTTCATGAGTATCACACGTCAAAAACAGTAATCATATAATCATGACATGTCTTTAAGCTACGAACGTTGGTAGAACTTAGAAGATGTCAAAAAATTAATATTATATATTAAAAGTTGGTAGTACCGTGAACCAATAATTTCTCTACTTCGATGAGGTTTGATTTTGAGAATATATATTATTTTGGTAATAGCCAAAGGGCACTAGACACACAATCACTTCGAAGCATATCTTGATCAGGTTATGTTGCGGTTACCATTTTTACTTGTAAAAAAAGGTGCTGTGACAATAATGCAAATGGTCTGAAAAAACTTCATGTTCCCCACCTAGCTAGATACAATATATATGACCACCCCTTTTTGTTCTTTTCCTAGGGGATTCTCATTTTTTTTTTCTCAAAAGCTTTTATTAGCTTATAGATCATAGACAAAGTATAGGCCATTCATTCATCATCATAGTTCATAATGTGTTCCAAGTAGACTAATAGATTAGATACTAATAAAAGGGTTAATTAATATATCGTAACATATTTCAAGATTGTTTCCAAAAATACCCGTGAAAAAGACAAAAAAATAAACATTCAAACGTATATACATGAAGTTGTTTGTCTCTGGAAAAAGTTATAGAACTACTAGAATAGATTAGTATATCAACATGCTTTTTTTGGTAAATCAACTAATAATTTATTCAAGCAAAATCATAAGCTGTTATTAAATTGGATTGTCATGTTTTTGGAATTTTTTTTTTCTTTTACCTTGTCATAATTATGAATCACTTTGTTGATGATTGATAAAATTTGTTTAAATATGGTTTTACTCTATTACAACGCAATATTAGTTTCTATGTTTGTGTTTACATTGAAAATCAATAAAAAAAAAAAAGGTTTGTGTGTTTAATTTAAAAATGATTACCAAATGAAACAAAAATTAACCAAAGGTCGTTTAAAAATACAAATATTTATTACTTACAAAATAACTTCTAATCTCACTCGCACCACCTAAAGTAAAAACATGTATGTGAAATGAAAGAAATGAATAATTATTTATTTAAATTATAATAAATACATTAAAAGCAATCTCTCTTAGGCCTATATATACAGAAGTACATCAAAAATCGAATATATGAAAATAAAAAATATATAAAAGGACTAAATCAAGACTTACAACACCAAAAGAAAATAAAACTTGATAAAAAAAAATGATAACAGGAAGGTCACTCATATTTCTGAACCTATAAAATTAGGAGCCTCATTTCACCAAATAAAATTATTTTTATTATCTAAATCATAGTTATTTAATATGTAAGTACAACTGTTACACTCCCTGAAAAGAAATACATTTAATCATTAAAAAAATACAATTCGTAAATAAATATTCAATCTATATATAAATCATTTTCAAAAATTAAATATTATTTATGATTATTCCATAATATTTCTTCTCTTTTATTCAGTCCAAAATTAAATAATTTTATAAGATTTATAATTCACTTTAAAGAAATAATTATTCATTTTATTGATTTTCATTTTTTAAAATAAGAAACTATTTTAGAACTTGTTAAATAAATATATTGGATAGAATTTGATTCATAAAAATATTGATAGATTACATGTTGAATTTTTAAAAAAAGTCATGATATTGATATAAAATATTCACGAAAAATTGAGTTCGTTACCATTCGAACCTATAGTTTATTAGTATTGTATTTGAATATGAGATAGAATAGATTGTTGTTCATTAAATTATATATTCATCCGATTACTCCAATCCAATTTTTTTTTTAAGAACAACTACATCGATTGAATTGAATTTTACATGATAAACAGAATCGATCGTATATAATTATTTTTTTTCAACTTGTAATTAAAAGTTAAAATGTCCATTAATTTGACCCAATTCCCATCGTCATCTATGGTAAAGCACCAGCAAGTGGTGAATGTTTTTTTCTGTGCATGCACTCGTTAAAATCATTTCATGGTAGAAATAAAAAAAATGGAAAATAATGCATACTATTGATTTACGAAATAGTCTTCATCAACTTTTTTATTACAAAATGGTTTTAATAAACTCAGGCAATTACCAAACTGCGCCATCTTCTTTGACACGGAGGCAAACATTGAAAGCATCATTTAAAAAAATTATTTTCATATTTGATTATTTGTCATATCCACAACGTTAATTTATTATATTTGATCATTTATTACATAAAAATAATTTAAATTATCTCTAATTAGATGATGTAGAAAGTTTTATTGTTTATTGCATTGGAGGAGTTGCAAGGCCCATCCATATGCAGTTTTTTGGATTACTTTGGGCCCCTCCCTGACCTGGTCAAATCCCCCACCAACAACGTCAACCTCGCTTTAGAAAAGATTCAAGTTTTCTTTCATGGAAAACATAGAGAATGGGAAAGAAAGAATATTTTTCTACTAATACTTAACAATAATAAATAAAATGTAAATTACAGTGCTACCATGTTTAGACAATATTACACTATGTGTGACGAAGAAAACTCCAAAACTATAGATCCACCACACCTTGATTCGAATGAATTATATATAATTAATTACAGATACAAAAATGAATTAAGAACTGTGAGTTTCATGCATAAAGAATTTCAAGAATTTTTTTTGTATATTAAAAAAACAAAGAAAAATTCTAAAACTTGCGTTCATGGGTACTCAGAAAACAAAAAAATTACTGCATCACCATGGTAGGTGAAGTGAGTGCAACCCCTGCTAACATGAAGTCATGATGACCCTGCTCCACAAACCACCATAAGCTGTCACACTCTTCGTCCTCTAATTACATGACTAAGTAATCAACCATTACTTTCCTTTTTCCTTTTGCTTATTTTCCTTTTCCAGAAATATATGTTTTTTACTATTTCTTTTCCTTTCTTACAGTCAATGGAAGTCATTTCAGAAAAATAGTGACAAAGTTTGGAATTTAACCTTTGGTCCTTCCTTTGTCTTATACCGGGATTCCTTGTCTAATTTTTGGCAGACAATTCCATGTTGTACCAGGTTAAAATGCTGGTCATAATACATATATGCTTTTCACCAAGTGCAAGGTTTCCTTTGCATCCATCATTATTACACCTTCTGTTGAGTCTAATTAGAAACACAATGGAAATGATGCACTTTTTGAAGGAGTAATCACTCGAAACGCATATATACCGGAACACAGAATCAGCAGCAGCAAAGTAATGTCATGATTTTCATTACAAAATGCCATTAATTTACTCTAATGTTGTCCTTTCTTCTATATATGTTTATCTTGTTCTTTTTCTCACTTTGTTAAAGTAAGGGAAAATATAAATGAATGATTTGAGTTTAGGCAACCTAGCCAGCCAGATATGAATGGATGTCTAGTCATTAAGGGTACATCTTTGGACCCTTTTTTATAAGTCCTATAGATTAGCTATCTTTTTCGTTAGTTACTCCTTCGTACTGTGATTCTCTGCCAAAACCTCTTTAGCAGAGATACTTCTTGCAGCCAGTGGACCCATTCACTCTTCAATTTCTCTGCATGTCTAAACAACAACCCTGTTTCAGTTTTATAGTATCCATTAACCAATATTATATACGAGGTTAGACATTATTAACTTGGTGATTCCTAGGCTGTAAAGATACAAAATTATATCCACAGCTTTCA